GAGCTTCTTCTGAAGGGGGCGGGGCTCTCCCTCAGAGACAGGAGGAGGATGTGTGGAGGAGGAGACCCTTCCTGGAGAGATCTTGCCCTCCCCACCACCCCAGAAGAGCTGGAGGAGGTCTGTGTTTAATTTAATCTTCTCGTCTGTTCTGCAGGTCGGACACCGTGCGGTGGCTACGCCACGCGCGAGACGTTTCATATGAAACCCAGCGAGTTCTGATGGGTTTTAACCGCGTGCATTAGGAGGCGTGGCTCCCCGCACACGTGCAGACCTCCACAGGACAGACGCGGATCAGCGGCATGGTTAACGGGACTAAACGATCAGACCTGAGCTGTGAGACGAACGTCAGCCGCGCTGGTTTAAAAAATATTTACTTTGAGTTGAAATCAGATAAAGTGATGAATAATAAAATAAAACTGAGCACAAACTCAGAGTTCATTTCTGGGTTAAATGTCTGATCATGCTGTTAAACTCCTCACAGGCTCTCCCGCTGGCTCGGAGGCGGAGCCTCTTGGTGACTGTCACCGTTCGTTACCACAGCGACCTCTGAGGTTTGTTGCAGGACGTCGCTTACGTGCCGTTTCCTACTCCTCTCCTCCTCCGCGGCGCCGTTCACCTTCCCCTCCCTCTTCCTTTTGCAGACCAGGCCGGAGTCTTCCTCGCCGATCCGTCCCTCTGGCACTCCCAGAACTCGCAGGCAGACGATGGCGGCCGCTTGCTCTGCAAACTTCTTTGACTTTTCCCTGAAAGACGGCGAGATCGTTTCAGCCCAAAGCGCAGCAGACTCAAGAAATCACGACTGATCAAATTTTCAACTCTGGCTCATTTCTTGGAGGTTTTCCGCGCTCTGAGCGGAAGCTGGAAAAACATCCTCACGATAAATAAACATGTTCTAATTCTCTTCAGTTACTTTGTGTCGTTTCAAACTGAAATCTGGAGCTGAAATGAGTCACTTGGTGTCAGACGGGGACGACACCGTGTCTACTTTTGATCATCTGTATGAAACTTTCTATTTTCACACTTTCAGTCGTGCCTGTTGTGAGAAGCTAATGTGGTCAGAACTGTAGGAGGGGGCGCTCAACCACACGAGACGTCGCAATAACCGTAGGAAATGAGCGAGCAGAGATATTTGTGAGGAGGCGGGAGCGCTCGGAGGATCAGAGCCGTGCAGTTTATTCCACAAGCTGACATTTTGTCACTGAGGTGCTTAAAGATCATCTTCCAGCTCCGCCTCAGCGTTCCCGACTCTTCACAACTTACGTCAGGAGTATAGATTCCCTGTTGGCTGTTCAGCTGCTAAATGATGCAACTATCCAAACAGCCAATCACACGGCAGCAATTCAGTGCATGTAGCAACAGAAAAGAGCATCGATGAAAAAGGTGGAGGCGGGTTGCAAAGCGGCTTGCATGCAGGCTAAAAATCAGATTTGAGATTTGTCAGCTGGACATGAAGGAGGACAACAGCTGAGAGTTCTCCAGGATTGAGCCTGAACCACCGGTCAACAACCGGTGAACCAGGAGACTTTCAGAGCTGCTCAGAAGAACCCAACAAGAAACTTTGTCGGTTGTGCGGAGGCAAAGATGTGCGCCTTGCTGGTGTTTTAGCACATTAGCGGCTCGCTGTGACTGAACACAGCTACAGAGCAGAAGCATGAAGTTTGTACTCACCACAGTGAAGATCTGTACTTCTTCTGCGCGACGGTCACTGTGGACTGAAAGGCTCGGTCCTGAGCGCGCTGCACCTGAAACACACGCACGCCGTCACATTCAGGAACGAAGGCGAACATTTCTGCGGATGAGAAGCTTTGCGTTTTCTCACCGTCTCGTACTGCGGCTGCTCCAGTTTCTCCTTACGGCTCCACTCGAGCAGGAACATCTTCGGGGTGATTTGAGGAGGATACTCTCTCCTGCAACCAAACACATCAAATCCACAGAGTTTCACTTTAGTCCACGCAGGCAGACGGGCAGCGGCGTCCAGCCCGCTGTCATCCCTGGGTGTCAGTTAGTACCGCCTCGTTACAGCTGCTCTTTTTCTCTCGAGGCGTCGTTTGGTGCATGTATCAGTGACACGTTCCCTGAACCTACTGAGTAGTTCTTGGTGCCCAAACATAACCAGCAGGTGGACGTGAACAAGCTGCGTGTCCACACCGCCCGCTGGGCTTCAGGCTGACGGAC